AGGCAAAGACGGATGGGCTCACGCGCCCTCAGAGCACTTGGCTGCTGCTCCCCTGGGCCACTGTCTGCCCTGGGGAGCCACAGCTGCCCAGGAAGTGACTTAAAACACAGCCCAGAAGACATCTCTGGGTTCCTCTTCAGAAATACTCCTGATGAGTCGTTAAATAGATTTTTCTCATCTTTTTCAATGTTTCTGCTACACCCTCCCTGTGCCCACAAAAGTCCTACAATCTCACTTTGGCACTGAACACCTACCAGCACACACCAGAAGGGGAGTGGTAAGAGAACAGTGAAGAATCTATGAGGTATGTCTTAGAAAAACAGAACACAAGAGCAGCATAAGAGTCTCAGCTTAAAGCTGATGTTTTTGCCTGGCTTCCTATGAGAGGGCTCATTCCTGGTCTCAAAGACAGACCCGATCACCTTTCACCTGCCCAAATTCAATGCAGAGGACATGGAGGACATGCTCCACACAGCCCCCATAGCCTGCTATCTCCACAGCTCCAGCCTTGCAAAAAATCACACCAGTTCTCCCTTCAGAACCATTACCTGTCGCTTGGCTTTTTCAAATCTAATTTGTTCATCTTGTTGGGCCTGCAGGGTGGCAACTTTCTTCCTCAGCTCAAGCAGCACCTTCTCGTGTTCCCGCTCTCTCTTTGCTTTCTCTTCCTGCCATTGCTCCAGCATCTCCTGTAACTCTGCATGGTGTCTTTCTTGCTCATTTTTCTGAAGAGGGGAGAAAAATTTTCAAGATGAAGTTGCAGGCAAGCTCCTTGCTGAAAAATGTCAAGCTTCATCCATCCCACAAACCCCAACCTGAAAAGACAACAGCACTGGCTTTCTGCACTCCAGAATTCATGTCCTGTCAGGGAATTTAAAAGGAGGCTCAGCAGCTGCAAGAATCACAGCCTCATGGAATCATTTCTGTTGGGAAAAGCCTTCACAAGCATTGAGCCCAAGCACTCACAAAAGGAGGTGTCACCTTCCCCTCCCTGATGCCCCAGCCACAAGCACTGAAGGACCAGGGGCCTGTTCCATTGGCTTCCAGCCCAAACCTAATCCCTGTGTCAATCATGGAAGCACAGCAAGAAAGGACCCGAGTTCCCACTCCTGCAGCCAGCAGCACTGATGGAATCTGCTCCACATTGGCATCTGCTCCATGTTGGCATCTGCTCCATGTTGGCATCTGCTCCGTGGCAGGAGGGACTCGGGGACGATCCTGCCCTGGGCTGTCACACTTTGGGTGGGCACTGCCCAACCTGCTCTGGAACTCGTCTTACGCCCTCACTGGAGCCGCGGCTGCATTTACTGTCCCAGCACCATCCTGGGGGGCTTCACACACCTCCAAGTCTGAGCTGCTGGCTCTGCTGCCCAGCCCAGCAGTTGGAGGCCTCTGGCAGAGGATTGCTGCCCTTTCTCACCCTCAGGCTCTGCTTGTGCTGAACCTTCCCACAGGCCCAGCTTGGACAATTCAGAAGCATATTGTCCCCTACCAGGTCTTGCAGGAGCTTGTTTATTTCCATTTGCTGAGCTGCTCCCTGAAGCCTGAGGCTTTCTTGACACTGATTCTCTGCCTGCATGAACTGCTGAGCTCTCTCTTCCTGTTCCTTTCTCCTGAGAGCTCTCTCTGCTTTCAGCTCTTGTTGCAGGAATTTCACTTGTCCTGCAAACACCACCAACAGCAGGAGTCAGAGTCTTTACTAACTTTACTGACCTCAGGCCCTTTCAGTGCCTCCAGCCCCACCACTCCTCAGAAGCCCTGTGGACAGAGGTGGCTTTACAGGGTGCTTAGCTTTTCTCGGCAGGGGCGGCACCACAAACAAAGCACACGAGGTCCTCACCTTCTACCACTGCCTTGGCCTGCGTGACTGTGAGCACTTGAGCCTTCAGATGGTTCCTGCTCATCTCCAGCTGAGCTATCTGCTGCTGAGCAGCAGACAGGCTGAATTCCAGGCTCTCCTTTGCTGACCTACAAGTTGCAAATACAGAGAGACATGAGCTGCTTGCTCCTGACACCCACAGCTGGTTATTCCAGGACAACGAGGCTCAAGATCCCCACACATCACTATGGAAAATGGGTCACATGGAAACTCGTCCAGAGAAGGCACTTTTGTGTCATTTCCATAGCAAAGCAGGGCCCTCTGAGGGAGTGCCCAGGCCTTCCTTATGGCCTGGCACAGCACACACAGCCCAGCCCAACTTGACCTCAACAGCCAAATCTTCACTTGCTGTTCCTGACCTATGACACTGGGGAGACTCTTGTCCTGCCCAACTCCTGACTTTTTAATGCTCTTGAAAATGGACATAAAGGTACATGCTCTTGAAAATGGACATAAAGGTACATCATCTTCCAGACACCGTGTATTTAAGAGATTTCAGAACTACTAGGCATGATGCAGAAAAATCTCATGGTCATGACAGCACTTATAAAAAATCAGAATATACTTTTGTCTGAACAACAACTAGACTCAAGGGAGCTTTGCTGGCTTTAGATGTCAGAAAAATAACCTTCATATTGTGACATATTTTATTTCATGAGACACTTCCATTTTATGTCCATGGAATGTAAAAACATCTGAAAGGCTCTGCTCCCTGCCTTTACCTGGTCTCTGCCAGCTGCTTGGAAAGCTCTTGTCGGTGCCGTTCCATGTTATCCATTCCTTCCTTAAGGGCAGCCTTCTCCTGGCCCAGCAGCTCCTTCTCTCTGCACACCTGGGCCAGTGCGTGCCCTTGGCCAGAGGATTGCCAGCACAGCTGCTCCAGAGCCCTGCTCGATGACTCTTGCTCCTGGGAAACCTGGAAACAGGACAAGGTACAGCTTGAGCCCTTCCTCAGGAGCCCTGTGCAGAGCCAGCCAGTGCCACCTCGCAGGCAGCCAGAGGACAAGGAGCACCTGTGCTCTGGCCTCCAAGGTTCACAGCACTGCCCTATGCAGCTCTGATACCCTGGGCTGCAAAAGCCTCTGCCACTGTTACCTTGGAGCTGCTGTGTCAGGCCCTGCTGCCTTGCCTGGGACTTGACAGCTCCTTGCCAACAAACATCCCTACTCCAAACGTGATGTTGTTACCCAAAAGTAATGCATCTTCCTCAAGTGCCACTTGGCAAACAAAATTTCTATCAGGATCTATTTCAGCACTGGACATTTTCAGGAAGGTTGGGGAAAGCAGTTTTGCTCCCTGAAGCACAGGAAAATATACAGGATTTCCCCAGCTAGAACAAAACCCCCATCAAAGTGTCACCTCTCCACATGTTCAGAGCAGCTCTCTGCAACGAGGGGATGCTTGGCAGGGAAATGGCTCTTGTGGTGAGCAGACATTTAGTGACTGATGGAAGTCTGGCTGATGTGGCCAATGCAGATGTCTTGGTGCAGCAATTCACACCAACAATACCACTGACTTGTCTTACACAAAGAAGGTGTCTAATGGCCCTTGCTGCTATTCAAGCCAGATGACCAAACCGTGTTTTTGAGCTCTTTTCTCCAAAAGCAAAATCTCTGCTGTGTATTTGCCAAACCTACCACATACCCCAGAACGGAGACTGTCTGAGAGGGACCATCAGAAACAAACCCTTCTCTTGCAGCTATCCTGTAACACCCAATCCAAACCTCTCCTGGCACAGCTTGGAGCCGTTTCCTCGTGTCCTGTCCCTTGCTCCCTGGGAGCAGAGCCCAACCCTCAGCTGCTGCACCTTCCTGTCACAGGAAGCTGTAGAGAGCAAGAAGGTGCCCCCTGAGCCTCCTTTTCTCCAGGCTGAGCCCCGCCAGCTCCCTCAGCTGCTCTTTGTCAAACCTGTGCTCCAGACCCTTCCCCAGCTCCATTCCCTGTTTTAGAGGCTCTGTGGCTGCCCAAAGCAACAAATTTTGCAGAAGCATGCAACACTTTGCTGACAAACACCCATATCCCTGGCTAAAAAATGCGTGTGCCATCTTGAGGCAGCTGTCCACAGCAGTGTCCCTGTCTTCTTCTGCCAGAAACAGCATCTGGGCTGATCTGGCTGGCACAACTCCCACTCCCACAGGTGCTGCCTAGCAATGAGGTGTCCAGAGCCATGGTAACATCATCCCTCCTTTGCTCCAGCAGATCCCTCTGAAGCTGCAATTCCTCCAGTGTCTGCCTCTTGATTCCAGCTCGCTCTGCAACGAGGGGTCTTCTCCCTCCAGTGCAGCCTCCACTATACAAGAAGGGCCAAGACAAGTTTTCAAGGGAAAACCAGTCTCATTTCCAAAACCAACCTCCATCCTGTACTGCTGCTGTGCCTTTTCCATCTGGGCTGATGCTTCCTTCCACTGCTCGGTGTTCCTTTGACGCAGCCACAAGGCTCCTGGCTCTGGGATCCCCATGCATTGCTGCAGCTTTTCCCTGGACTTCTCAACGTTTTCGCAGCAACTGCAGAGACAAGGCTCAGTCAGAAGAACAAAGAGGCCTCAAGAGTCACCGATCCCATTTCCAGCACTCCAGGCTGGAGCAGGGGGCAGTGGGCTAAGGAAGACCTTGCTCTTTCCCTCCCAAGGAAATCTTCCAGAGGCAAAGGGAAAGGAAGGCAGGATTTTGCCTTCCTTCAGTGAGAAGCAGTGGCTGGGCAGGGGCACGCAAAGAACAGAATTCAGGGAAGCGGTATGGTGAGAAAAAGGAGTCTTCTATTCCAACATGGCTGTGCATCTCCCACACAGCCTTAGGAGTCACAGTAGAGCATGAAAAACCCTGACAGGACGATGCTCAAGAGCCACACATGGTAGGACAGGTGATTTCTTCACCCAGGAACCTCTGAACTCCCAGACCTAGAAGCAGATTGCCTCTGGAATGCAGGAGGAGGAGGAGGAGGAAATGCTCACTCTATGATTCCTTCTACCAGATTCTTCATCTGCTGATAGCGGCTTGTGACCATTTGGTTTTCCTCGTCCATTTGATCAATACGCTGCTGCATGCGCTCACAATTCCCTGAGACTTCCCGAAGCAATGCAAAGGGATCCTGTTTATCCGTGGATGTCAGAGTTGAGAGGATGCTGCCAGGATTGTCAGTGTAGATGATGGAATGGGCCATGCTGTCACCGTCGTCTATCAGTGCCTGAAAGCCCACATCCAGCTGTTAGTCAGGCATTCTCTTCCTATTCCAAAGTACCACTGAGATGCCTCTTCTGATCCCACAAGAACCAGTGTCCATTCAGTTTCAAAATCCCAGCCAGCTCAGCACAGTTTACTCACCTCAGGGGCTCGGGAGGATTGTCCCTGGTGAGAAAGTCCTCGAACTCCCTGGAAGAGCACAGGGAAGAGCACACTCAGACTGCATGCCTGCCCCCAAGGCAGTCGCATCTAAGTGCTTCCCAGCCTGTCCCAGAGCGCAGCAATTCCAGCTGAGCTCTTCCTCCCCTCCTTGGGAATATTTTCAGCCCACAAGTTTGACAGCAACACAAACAAACATGCTGGAATGTGTCTCATCATTTCTAAGGACGCCAAAATGGGCATTGCCCAGACACCCATCCAACCTGGCCTTGAACACTCCCAGGGATCCAGTGGCAGCCACAGCTTCCCTGGGCAACCCATGCCAGGGCCCCAGCACCCTGACAGGGCAGAATTCCCTGCAAATATCCTATCCATCCCTGCCCTGTCTCAGTGGGAAGCCATTTTCCCTCGTCCTGTCCTTGCAGGCCCCTGCCTTAAGTTGCTGTCCAGCTCTCTTGCAGGCCCTTCCTTCATGCATTGATAGGACCTCTAAGATCACCCTGGAACCTTCTCCCACCTGGACAACCCCAACTCTTGCCTCCTTTGCCCTTGGCACAGGTACTCCAGCCCTTGCAGCATCTTCCTATTATCCCCATGGCCTCCCCTAGGCCACTGGGGATCATCTCAGAAATGTCTGAGAAAAACCCATGTTTGCCTCTGGGATGTGCTGAGGCTGCACTGTAAATTAGTTTGAGGGGAAGGTGATGACCCTTGTTTGTGCCCATGGCCTCTGGTTGGACAAGGATGGAGGAGGAGATGTGGCTGTGCTCTGGGATGGCCAGGTGCCCCCCATTCCCTCCCAGGCCTGTCCCCACAGCAAGCACCAAAGCTGCTGGAGCTCTAGAACAGCTGGCTCTTAAACCCTTGCTATTCCCAGAGGGAAGCCTTCCCTGAGGCACAGCCCAGGCCCACCCAGGCCCCTGCAGGGCTTGGCACAAGGAGAGCAGTGGCTTTCTCACTCACCCGTCGCGTGTCCATCCGCTTCTTGGCACAAACAGTGTCCAAAGTGCAGTGTCCAAAGGCCCTTGGCCTTCGCAGGGTTTAACCCCAGTGTCCAAAGGCCCTTGGCCTTTGTGGGGTCCAAACCCAAATATAAAAAGGCCCTTGGCCTTTGCAGGGTCCAAACCCAAATCTCCAAAGGTTCTTGGCCTTTGTAGGGTCAATAGCACGCAGGATCAAAGTGCTGTTGGCCGTCGCAAGGTCCAAGCCCCAATGCTCATGAGCTGTCGACAGCTCCAGGGTCCAAACCCTAATAGCCAAGAGCTCTGTATTGTTGCCAGGGTGCAACCCCCAACATTCCATGGACTGTTGACGGTTGCCAGGGTCCAGATCCCAACATTCCAGGGACTGTTGGAGCGGCCCTCCCTGGCTCTCCCCCCATCCCAGCTCCCTGCTGGCCCTGGCACCTGCCCTGCCTCCCCTGTGTCCCCACAGCCCTGCTGGGCAGCTGGGCAGGGACCTGGCTCATAACATGAGTTCCAAGTTGCTGCTCCAGGCAGCACCAGTTTTAAGGCTCAGCATTCTCAAGACCCACATGCTCTTTTGGGATGCGCTTAGTTCCTTCTGTCTTCCCTGACCAAGGGGAGATGTAAGGAAAAGCCTAAAAAGGTTCTTGGTGTTTATAAGTATTCATGGAAAGTAAAGCTTTGCCTTTAGAACAGCCACCTGAGGAGGAAAAATGGTGTTTCAGGAACTTTTCAAATTCCTACACAGAAATGCCTAGAGCTGCAGTGTTTAAGGCTCATAAAATAGATTAAGAATCCTGAGACAGCCACAAGTGCATTTTTTTCCTGCTCTGTTCTCTGTTTGGTAATATATCACTAGGTCTTCTAGGCAGAAGAAAAGTCCTGCTGCTTACATCAAAGATTCCTCACTAGGAACAGACCTTCAAGAACCAAATGGATCTGCTTGGAAAAGCTTGGGCTGGTGTTTCTTGCCCTCATCTTTGATAGCGTTTGTCTGTGTCCTAGGGAGGATTTCTGTGCCCCAGTTGACAGGAACTGCCTTCTGAGCAGGGCACAAATCCTCTGTGCACAAGAGCTGCACCTGCCTTCTCCAGGGCCTGTATCTCCAGAGACTGATGGCCCAAGGATGTCCCTGCCAAGTTAAGATTCAGAGACCGATGCAGCTTCAAGTCTCTGCTTCCACAAGAGCAGCTTTGGGCTCCTTGAGCATAGCTGCAAAGGAGCAGGACAGCTCCTGGTGAAGGTCTGACAGCCCCTGGCTGGTCCTTGAACAGCTCTCAATGTAGTTCTGCCAGTGGTGCTGTCGGTCTTGGGCCAGCTGTGACTGCAGCAGGGACACCTGAAAGAGGCACAAGGCCCGGCTCAGACAAGCCCACGCTGGCAGCAGCATCCACAGCCCCACGGTACCGGCTGTCAGGGCAGACACAGCCTCCAACTGCAGCCCTCACCAACACTCTGCCCTCGGGGAAGGGGAAAGGAACAGGCTCCCAGACTGGCCCTGAACAGAGCTCAGATGATCAACAAGTCCATTCCAAGGCTGCCAAACCCTTCCCACGTACATCCCTCAGCCCCCACAGGTCTAGCAGAGTGAGTTCCAACAGCAGTGAGGAACCCAACTCTCATTTCCAAAGGACACATTTGGGCCACTGACCCCTTGCTCCACAGGCTGTGCATCAGCAGGAGGGCTACTGCTGCTCCCCTGAGCTGCTGGAGAACTCTTCTCTTGAGCTGCTGGACAGCCAGCCCAGGACTGAGGGGAATGTTGTGCTTGGCCTTTTTTGGTGCTTTCTTGAGGCATTTTAGCACCCAAAGCCCTATTTTACACCTCCCTCTTTTTTAATTATTCACTAAATATGGCTTTAACTGATTTATATATGCCCACATTTATTATGCTTCTACACCATTTAATTTTGAGGGATTCTCAAAGGGGTTTGGGGGGTTTTCTTGTTTTTGCCAGGTTTTAGTGCACAAGCTGCCTTTTCAACCTTCCACTGTTTAAATGTAACGAAGAGATAGCCTGAAATATTTCATACTTATTGAAATTTATTCAATTTTTATCAGCTTTGTTGAAATTTGGAGGAGGTTTTGAGGCTTTTCCCAGCCAGCCAATGACTGAGGGCAGTTTGGCAGAGGCGGGAACCCTCAGCCCCGCCCCCGTCCCGCCCAGCCAATCCCTGAGGGCACTTTTCCCGGCCCGCGGTTTGGGCGGGAGCCGCCCCCCCCATTGTCAATCACTGAGGGGCTTCGGCTGAGGCGGGAACTTCTCCCCGGCCTCCCCTCGCCGGTCACTGCCGCCCCTCCCCTGCCTCGCTCCCAGTGGCTCCTTGTGACTCTGAATTTTCCCCAGCTGCCCCAGTCTGGGCTGGTTTGTACTGGTTTATTCTCCCCGCTCCCCAGGTAGAGGAGCTCCTCTACCCCCGCT